TTAGAACTGCTCTACTGGTCTGCCCCACAGAGGAATTGTTTAGAAAATAGACATGGCTAAGAAAAACTGCTTCATTTGTGTGTTACAATAAGTATGTTCTGTTCCACATTACAGCATTAGAGAGAAGGGGCTGCAGAACCTGATGCAATATTAATGCAGAAGCGATGCAATGTAAATGCATGCGAGATGTTATGTATAATTTGCCTCATTGCCACATTACTTTGGACATCCGAGAAACAAAGCAGAACACTAACAAAAATAATAATGTAGAATTTTTGACTGTAAAGGAAATGTGTGGGCTTGAAGGCCAAGAGAATGGAAGCCATGCGCGTCCCAATTCTGGTAGCATGAACTGAGTACAAAATGATAATCGTGTAAAAATTATGAGAATGGGTGCACAGCTGTTTATAATTGATGATCCCTCCAAAGCTGCATCTCAGAGCAATCATCACATGCATAGAGCCTTGCAGACTCATGTGACTGCTTGATCTCTTGCTTTGCTGGGCGGATCCAAGGAAACTTTCCAAGCAGTACTGTATCTTCAGCTGTGACCGAGGCAGTTTTTAGATACAGTATGACTTGCATGCTGAGACTCCTGCCTTTGCAGAATGAGAAGGTGGTGGGTTTCTGTCTTTGCCCGGGCTCACACATGATATGGAGAGCGTGAGAAATCTGCTTTGAGGTTGACTGTGATCTCGTTTTCATTTGCACCAAGTCACTGACATGGCTAAGAGTTATTACCCTTTTCTATGGGTTTTATGTTACTCTTCAATATGGCATGATTAAATGTTTTCAAACATGAAATGCAATAGAGAAATGAGCCACAGTGTACTGCCCTTTACTTATAAGTCTACTCTTATTTACAATGAATCCCACAAACAAATTCTGATGTTCAACTTCGGTTAGATTGATGACATCTGAAGCAAGTCTGGCACAATCCAAAAGGGCACAATATTAAACATTCACAATGTCGGCCTGACTAATATGACCTTTTCTCTTGTTTGCAACCTCAACATCCCTGTAAATATCCATGGGTAATTTGACTTGTGAAGCTAATGAATTATCTCCTTGATGCATCAAGCCCAGCATCCACATTAGTTGTGCATGAAAATGAACATCACAATGCCCAATGACCCATAGTCCTCATCACATTATTGCCCAGAAATCTTGATCAACATGGAATCTTCCAACCCAATTATCAAGACAAAAAGTTGACCAGTATTGGGCACTATACCAACATACTACATGAGATTATATAAATCTGTCAACCAGCAAAGAATAACGATGCATACCCATTATTTGGCCCCAAAAGAGAGGGTTGTCAGGCTATGCAGTCATAAATCTTCAGTGCCCCACAATAAGCAACATCAGCCCTAACCTACTCTTAAAGCCAAGCATCCCTGAACCCTATCTTCACCCAAGCAAACAGCAGATATGTGGCTTGACACACAGCATCTGCATTTCATTGGCTCAGGTTGAGCAGTGGCTGGCCCAGTTGGCTTGTAATAGCAACAGTCTCTGAGAGCCGGGTCCGATCAGTTGTCCAACCACTGACACCGTTCTACCAAGACTGTCTAACAAAAGAAGACTAATAACAAGTTCTATGTGGGTATAGGAGTGAAGGAAAATCTACAAGGTCACCAGGTGGGCACCTTCTCACTGACTGGTGTTTTATTGAGTCAGGCCCATGACACTGAGAAGGCTCAACAGTGAGTTCTGGCGTTCCAGAACCACCCACCTCTTTACCCGCACCCAAACATCCAACACAACCCTTCATCTACTCAGGTTAATTCAGGCTCACTGTTACCAAACAGTCACTAGCACTAGCAAACATTCCAAGTGCTGTTCTAGCTAGCAGTTTCTCAGGTCACAGTTTCTTTTCAGTTAAGCAAAGATGGTGACAGGAAATAATGTTGTTTCTCTCGCTTTTTATTTGTGAAAATTGAGCACGAATATATTATTGAAACCCATTATTTTATTGAATGTATTACAAATTACGTGAAATTATTATTGAAATTGTTCATGAAGTCAAGCCACTTTCACACAAAGCCAGAGTGACATCATTTCTTGTTGCCATCTTTTTTTTTTATATGGGAAAAATAGACATAGCCGAGATAATAATTAAAATGATAATTTTCCTAGACAGGGCCAGCTTATTTTTGTTTACACATCGTTAAAAAGGTCTGTGAGGATTTGGGAGAATTTGGGTAAGTGTTATGAAATAACAGCACAGGGTTAAAATGTTCGGCAAGTCTCAATTTCCCACATTAACAGATTATCACTGTGACTCAAGGGTATGTAATACATGAGTCACAAGATGTGGTGATCTGTATTACAGCCTGAATATCAATATTTTAGAGTTCAAAAAAGATGATAATGATAAGTATCCTTTAAATGTGGAGGTGTCCATGTGGTCTAGTCATTGCATTTATTTACTGCAAACACATCATCATCTGTTCATTTCTAGCCAAGGATCTTTGTTCTGTGTGATTCAGCTCTACCTCCCCTCGCTTCCTGTCACCTCTCCAACATCCCCTTATAAATAAAGGAATATACTTAACACAGTCATTTTACAAAGTAAACTCATTCTCAGGTAAACAAACTATATAACAGATACACTAACAGAAAACACTTTGTCAGATTGTGGAGCTGTTGTTAAACAAATTTGTCAATATATAATCTGATGGAGGACTTAAAAAATGCAAAACATTCATGCAAAATGTGTCGGGGATTTTCAGAAGAGTGAATCTGTCATGTTCCTTTCTCCCTGACCCTTTTATATTACAGTAAACACATCATGTGGTTTTGATAATTTACTTATTAATAAATAAATCTGCAACCAAAGTAAGTGTCTGCATGCCAACATGTGTAATTAAAAACCCAGTACATCAAACACCAGAGCATGCTGCTGCAATGTGATCAAATGTTGTGCCGTTAGGGCACCACTCTCTCGTAAGTACCACAAGCAGAGCACAGAGTGTAACAGGCAGAGGATTTAGCGAAATTTGTCAAGCTACCATGCAACGTGTATTTAGAATAAACTACAGTGCATTTGGATTGAGGATTGCTTGTCCAGGTTATGTGAGTGTATCTACACAGAGGTCAAGACAAGAGGCAGTAAACCAGATGATTCAATAAACATACAGTAAATGAGAGAGCATGTTTGGGAATGCT